CCAGATGAGTTGAAGCCTTTCTCTGCCACAAGCCTGATGTCCTCACAATGGCAAATATGAAAATAGAAAATATGTTTCCTGCTTGAGGCATATACCTTCCACAATCTACAGTGATTGAGGCATTCACTTCACTGGGCAAATCAGATGAACCTTCACAAAAACCTTACAAACTTCTTGAAATTATCACTGTTCCTATCACCCTCCATCATCAGGCAAAGTTGAGAGAGCAAATGGGAAAACTGGCTTCCAGCAGAATAAGTATTAATTACACAGGACTGAAGGAACTGATGAGAATGATTACGATTTTTTTTTACTTTTTGTCTGAAATATTACTATTTTTTCAATCTTATGTTTTTCCACATTTAAGAAAATCTTTTCTTGTAAGTCATCTATGACTTACAGCAATCTGGAGAATTATACCTTTGTAAGCAGAATTGAAACAATTACTTTTTCTCCCTACTTGATGCCTCCAGAATTCAGAAACTCTCTGAGTATTCTTATTTTCATGACAATATATTTATTTGCATAAGTTCAATAAGAATCTGTTTTCTTTGTAACAGAACACAATTGGAAACATGGATTATATCACTAAGGCTTTGACTAGAATGTCATGTTTGAGACAGACATGCGTAATCTCAGGTATAACCAAACAGCTTTAAGGAATTAAGGTTGACTCTACAAAGCCAATAAAGCCCCTTGGAAAAACAGCCTGGTACCTTATTTACAGGGTTTCTGGCAGCCTAACAAGGTGAGTAAGGAAGATAGAAGAACCTCAAGATATGTTGGGAGCCTCAAAAAGAGAGGAATGCACCCAAATCGATAGGTACTACAGGCAGAATATTTGGCTTGGCTTCTCAGCCTCAAGAGACTACTAAAAGTTCAACCCGGAGATTCCTTATTAAATGTTCCATCAAAGAAAATTTAAAAGAACCTCTATGATCAGTCGCTATTCTTGCTGCACTTATGTAAATGACTAAGGCCAATTTATTGAAACTAGACTTACTTTGCAAACAAATTAGCCTTAATTTGACAATCTTTGATAAAATAAGGGTGATTTTAGAAAGAAAAATTATATTTCAGTAGAAATTATAATGCATGCTTATGGATATTAGATTCTAGTGCTGTTAATTTTCCTTGAGGTTTTATTTACCAAAAAATTGGACTGGATCCTAAATTCTTCCACTTTCCTCAAATATTTGGCTACAACTCTCCAAACCAATGTTTCCAATTTTTCTCTCAATTTTTACTTGGAATCATTGAGAACTAAAGCTGCCCTTTTTCCTTGAAGCCCTGTAAACTGAAGCTCCATAACTTGTTATAAACTTGAGAGGTTGCCACAACAGACCTTGTGTAAACCACCTTCGTGCCTGCTTCTGAGTAAGCCGCGCAGAAAGTTTACCTCAGCATCTGATGACATCATTAGAGACATTTCAAACTGTAAGAGATGCTTTGACTCTGACATTTAGAAATCTTCTTGACTGGCTGCCCCCTGGCTCAGAAACTGGTTTATAATTTGCACCAATCATTAATCATTGTTTATCTTTGTTTCCATAGAAACGCCTCTCACTAAATACCTGATTGCTTACATCATAGACCTAACTTTGGGAGCTCACCTGCATCACGGCATCCTGAAATAGAAAAGTAACTGTTTAACTAAACTGACCTATTTTCAAGACTAAAAGGTTAATTCGTTAATTCAATGAAAAAAATGAAACAATCTACCGGCTCTACTTTTAAAGGGATCTGCCGGTACCCAGGGAAGGCCACCCCAAAATACCCCACAATAACATACTGGGTATTTTGGATAAAAGTTACTTGAGAAGCAAAAAGGGCATTCTGGCCTCCTGTCTCTGTTTTGCCCTGAAAGCAGGAAATAAATCTTCACTGTGAAAAGTGCTCTCCCTACATCCTTATCACCAGAGCTGGGGAATTCTGTGCCGAGAATAAACAAACCTTGCTAATTTACTACTTCAAGCTTAAACTCTGCTTAAATTCCTCACTAATTATGTATCTCAAATCTAAGTTTCTTTGTCCTGTCATTCCTCACAAATTTATTGTTTCTTGTCTGCTTTGTTCACTCTCCAAGCATCATTTCTCTATGTTCTCCAATAGTGGGTTTTTTTTCCTGTTGATCTGGTTATGCGTCAATTTTATTATCTGGCCATAAGAACACAAGAAGGGTGGAAAGGGAATTTTCCCCTTCCCCAACATCACCAAGAATTACTCCGTTAAATGCCTTACTCAACACTCCAAAATGACTGAGATGGTGTATTGAGAACCAAATTGAGAGTGATAATAACAATCAATAGTTGCTAATTTTTAAGCACAGATTATGTATAGGGAACTATGCCAAGTGTTTTGCATACATCATACATTTAGTCCTGACAGTAACCTTTGAAGTAGACACTCATAACATCCCCATGTTAGAGATGAGGAAACTAAGGCACAAAGGGGACGTGACTGTGGCACAGTCTTGTGTTCCATGCTAAAGACTTTGGACCTTGAAGGTTTTATGCAGGGAAGCATCTGTGTTTTGGAAAGATAATTTGGGTGACTGTGTATAAGGTGGGCTGAAGGTGAAAAATACCAAATAGGCAAAAAGTACTTGGGAGATCATCATTCTCTCTCCTCATAGACACTCCAGCTCTGTGGAATGGTAAATGTGCTGATGACTTAATGACCTTGTGTCTTTCTGCTTATTTTTCATCTTGTGGCTGTTCCATTCTTCCCTTTGTCCCTTGGCAAATTCCTACTCCACCTCTAAGAGCTGATTCATGGAACAGTTTCTCTCTGAAGAATTAGCTAACTGGTCACTGGGCTGTGTAACAGGCACCACAGTGTGAGAGCAAGAGCAGGGAGTTAGGAGTCAAGCTGATCTGCTCAGCCTCTAACAAACTGTGGTGTTGGGAGGTTCCTTACCCTTTCTGAGACTGTTATCTCAGCTCTACAATGGGAATAATATTACCTAATTCAAAGCGGGTGTGGAAGTTTAGATGATACTCCGGCACATCATAAGTCTCTATAAATAGTGTCTATTTCAGTAGTTTGTCATCTCAAAGCCTCCCTCTCCTCCTCAAAGAGACTGAATTGTACCACCCTCCATTTTCTCCCAGCAGTCTAATCCCACCTCTACACAACATTGCCACATTAGTTTGGAATGACATTAGTTCATGAGTAAGGATCTGTAGTTCTCTCCTGCCTCAACTACATTCTCTTTCTTGCCCATTATGATAGACTGAATAATGCCCCTTCCCCTGAGATTTCCACACCCTAATCTCTGGAACCTATGAAAATGTTACCTTATATGGCAAACAAGACTTTGGAGATGTGTTAAGGATCTTGAGATGGGAAGATTATTATGGATTATCCAAGTGGGTCCAAGGTAATCACCAGGGTCTTTTTAAGAGGCAGCCAAAACAGAAGGGTCGGAACAGATCCGCGGTTACCAGAGAGGAAGAGGACAAGGGGTGAGCGAGAGGGAGAAAGGGGCACATATGTATGGTGATGGATAAAACCTTGACTATTGGTGGTGAGCACGATGCAGTCTATACAGAAACTGAAATATAGTAATGTACACCGAAGTTAAACAATGCTATAAACCAATGTGACCTCAATAGAATAATTTTTTAAAAAAAGTAGAAGTGTCAGAGGTGACAACGGAAGCAGAGGTCAGAGTGACTGAGTTTGAAAGTGAAAGAAAAGGCCACCAGCTGAGGGATGCAGGTGGTCTCTAGGAGCTGAGAAAGACAGAGATGGATTTTCCTCTAGAAGCTCCAGAAGGAACGTAGCTCTGAGGACACTGAGTTTAGCCTCTCCGACGTTTGGGACTTGTGACTTCCAGAACTGTAAGATAATAAATTTGTGTTGTTTCAGCCATTCAGTTTGTGGTAATTTATTACAGAAGCAGTAGGCAAACAACATATTCATCTTGCAACACCTTCCTTTCTCTCCAAAGTAGAGTGGTGTCTTCCTAAAGCATGAATAAAATTACAACCTTGCACCTCTGCTGGTTTCCACAGCCGTTTAACATATAATCGCAACATCTCCAATGTTAAGGAGTTCACTGAACAGTGGTATGGTGCCAATAAGGTTTTACACAACCTGGAATACTCAGGGAAAAATCTATTCAAGCTATTTGCATGTTTAGAGCAACACTCACGGTCTATAAATGGAGTGTAATAAGAACCAATTCTGTAGGTTTGCCACCTGTGGGATTCACTACAGGTAGTAATGTCAGTATTAGAACTGTTTTTAATATTTCATTTTTGTGAAATGTCAACTTTATCAAAGGATCAATAAAGAGTAAAATATTTTATGGTCCAGCACTGTGGCCAAGTGGTTAAGTTCACATGCACCACTTTGCAGCCCAGGGTTCTCTGGTTCAGATCCTGGGTGTGGACCCACGCACTGCTCATCAAGTCATGCTATGGTGGCGTCCCACACAGAAGAACTAGCACGATCTACAACTGGGATATACAGCTATGTACTAGGGCTTTGGGGAGAAAAAAAAAGAGGAGGAAGAGTGGCAACAGATGTTAGCTCAGGGCCAATCTTCATCACCAAAAAAAAAAAGAAAGAAAGAGTAAAATAGTTTAATGTAATTCTCTGGAAAGTATCAATATACGTCCACTAAGTAGTATAGATTCTTGTTTTATTTTTATTAATTTTGTAATATTGGTGTAGAATATACATCTTAAGGGGATAAAACAGTCTGATTTATTTATTTATTTGTTTTTAAAAAGCAGCCCAGTAAAGTTTCAGTGCTATTAATATTTAGCGACAAAGCTAATTAACCATTAATATCTAAATAAGTAGCTATTAAGTAATACAATCAAGTAGGCAAATATGTATCCGCCAACATATAACACCAAGCCTTAAACCAAAACTTCCTTCGAAATATATTTTTGCTTAAAATTCTGGAGATGTTTTTTTCTTATATGAAATTGTGATGCATCAACACTATTTCTTTGCTCTTCTCAGAAATATTTTGACAATACCACAACTTGATTTATTTTATTTATTTAGAATTTGAAGGACAATAAAAACATCAGATTCGACAGATTGAAAATGAAAAAACCAAAATACGTTAGATAGCAAATGTATAGACTTAGGCAGCTGGTGGCTGACTCTCCAAAAGTTTCTTGATTATTTTCTTATACAGGGGGGCCTGCGGGTCCACGCAAATCTTGCTCCCATCCCTTATCGTAGCTCTGCGAGGGAAAGGAGAAGAGGCGCGCCTTTCAGCTGCTGGCTTTGACCAGGGGATTAGGCTCAGGGTGGAGCAGGGTGTGGAGGGGGGTGGAGCAGGGTGTGGAGGGGAGGAGGGAAGGGCAGAGGAGGCTGAAGGCGGGCACAGAAGAAGCAAGTGCAAGGACTCACATCACTTGAGGGGTAGGACAGTGGAGTCCAGCCTTGATCACCTCCAGGCTGCGGACTTGCTTAGGATGGACTCGGGTGGTGGTCTTCACACACAGGCAGTGCAGGTCTCCCTCTCCTGCTTCAGGATCTGCTGGGGGTGGGGAAGAGGTTGGAGCAGGGGAGAGAGAGGCGACTCCATGAGCGGCCAAGGGTTCCTTAGGGATCTTTCCCACTGCGTTTGGCCTTCATTTCCTCATCCACAAATCATACCTCCTTCAGAAAGAAGTATTGTTGGCCAGATGAGGAAGCGCACGGGGCAGCGCTGGGCACAGCGCCTGCACACTTAGCAAGCCCTTAACCAAGTCCTGGGGGCTGCCCCCGGTCCCTCCCCCGCTTCCTCCCCGCCTTGCTTTGTTCTCACCGCTGGCGACGGAGACTACGACCGGCAGAAGCAACAGCCCCAGGAGCAGCAGCCCCCGGCGGGGCCAGGGGCGGGAGGCGCGGGAGCCCCCTCCGAGGCTCATGTCTCGAGATGCCAGCAGAAGCTGAGAGCGCAGAGGCAGTAGGGGCTGGGGTCCTCAGGGCGGTGGCTTCTGGAGACTGCCCAGGCCCGTTTTATACCCTCAGTCCGTCATGTCTGGAAGCCGGGGACGGAGGGCGGAAAACTGCGGTGCTGAAGCTGAGACACTTCGGGGAAGAGCTGGGTTCTGGGCAGCCAAGATTAGGGGGAAAAAAAAAGGGAGCCCAGGGTCAGCAGTCTTGGCTGGGAACTGGTAGCAGAATCCACAAGCCCAATTGAATTCACATACATACACATTTGTGCAGTTAGAAACAGTACTTGAACCTTATAAAATGTGTGTTATGTTTGTCATGTGTCATAGCAGGTTCTCTGTAGTCACCATGTTGCAATTTGCGCAGTATGGAGACGGTTTCTGCTCCCTTCCCAGCTCCCAACTGCCTTAGCAGGAGCTGTTCTTTGCTGCCTGCCTTTCTTGTGGATTACCACTGAGTTGAGTTTGGTGGCTGTGTGTGTTAGAGGTGTGTAGTGTGTAATTGTTTTTTTGCTACTAAAAAGTTGAATTTGGTTTCTAGGTGATGGCTAGATGCTGGCCTTCATCTGAATGTGAAGGGCCCCCCGTGTCTCCAGAGTGGATCTAGCCCCTTCTACCAGTCATCATCCAACACACTCTGGGAAGCAAGGTCTGTTCGCCTCCTCTCTCCTTTCACTCTGAGAAAAGTTATAAAAGTAGTAATTGAATGCATTCTTTCTATAAAAACTTGATGTCTAAATGTTTCTCCGCTCCCCTTGGCCAAGAAGGGAGGTCAGGAAGGAGAGCTTGTAGGCCACATCTCCCTGTTTCTGCCGTGACGTGGGCCAGTACCAATGACAGGGTGAGATGGGCTGCATGGCGGTGGGAGCAGTGATGCTGGCGGGAGGACACAGAGCATCTGGGAGTTGTGTGGTAAAGATGTGGAAGAGAGGCTGGAGGGTATACAACAGAATCCTGCACAGGAAATATTCAGAGATCGATATGGACCATGTTCCCCTCCCTGAAAAACGACTTTGGCTGTTGATCAGGGCCAAGTATACTCTCATCTCAAAGCCAGAGGCTGTCACACTGCTGATCAGTGGTGAAGGGCATCAGGGGCCCACCGTGTGGAACTAGCTGACCTTTTAATTCTCAGCAGGACCAGACTTCTGCAGGGATGTGCAATTTAATGCCTGGGCCTGGAATGTTCTTTCTCTTACTCTCCTCCCACCTACCCTTTCAGTAGGCTGAGTCCTAGTCATATTTCTGGTGTCAGCTTCAGTATCACTTCCTCAGAGGGGGCTTCCCTGACAGATAAGCTAATGTATTCCCTGCTGTTGTATCTTGTAACATCCTCTGCTTCTCCTTTTTCTCACAGATCACATACACACACACATACATATTTACACACAGATATATATATGTGTGTATGTAAAACTGTTTAAAATGGTTTCTCTCTTGTTTTGTGCTGGTCTCAGTCTTTCTGTAAGCAATATTGTGGTTGGACCAGCCCTTGTGGTTCTTATTATGATTGCAAGATGACCTTCAGCAATAACCATCAGGAAACTTTGAAAAAATAAAGGTTTATTACCTACAAGACCTGGAAATTACACAGCAAGATTGTGGGTAGAGAGAGCGCGCGCGCGCGTACAGGCCTAGCTTCTGCTTTTATTGGAGTTGAGGGTTAGGGCGTAGGGTTTCCTGGGCTCACTCTTTACTGGTAAATGAAGATAAGAGCAGGAATTTAAAGCTTGAGGTCAGTTATCTGAATCAACCCAAATCCGTAAAACAAAGGAGCCTAGTGGAGGGTAGGGGCTGGCTCTTTATTTAGCTGTGGAGCTGCCAATGTGTTTATTGGAGATAGCCCTCTTCAGTGGGTGCCTCTTTGAAGTGGATGCCTCAGCATTCAAACTTAGGTCAGGCACTTGCATTACAAAAAGAAAAACGAAAGGAACCATTGTCAGGGCTTAAACTACATTTCCCGAATGGAAAGGTCTTTGAGAGAGATCCCAGCGCTTATCTAGCATACTGATAGGGACTCAATGTGAAGTACTACATTAGTGAAAATGTAAATGTTGAAAATGATGAAGAGGAGGCTTTGACTTGTTCCTGTGTCCGTTTCTTTGTGGAGTTGGAGCATACCTTTATATTAACATGTGTCACATGCAGTTGTGATTATTTGTCAACCTGTCTGCCTATTCTCTGTGACTTGTATGTCCAGCATCCAACCCAATGACTGGCACAGAATATGTTGTAATTCATACATGTGTATGGAACTGAAACTTGAAATCTCAAGTTGGGTTACTGGCAGAGGGACTGGATAAAAGGGGAGGTTTTGGATATAGATGGGCAACATACTGGATTTGTACAACCTTACCCCCAGATTTCAATATTTGCAGGTTAAAGGAATCCAGGAAGTAGTAAGTGGCAATTAAATCGTTCTCTCTCTGCATTAAATGTAACACTTCAATATATACTCACAAAAATAAAAGCCGTCTGCATGTTAGGAGGTAATAGGACAGTGCAAAACCTGTGTCATGTCTCAGGAGCTGGCCTTAATGGATTTCAGTAGAAAACCACTAGACAAATAAACAAGATGTCTGAACTATTTAGAATTGTTAGAGAAAAACTAATGAAAACGACCATTTGCTGCTTTATTATGTGTTTATTTATGTATATTTTTTGTTAACGATTACTTAATAAATGCACTTAGTTTGTAGACAAAACATTTTAAGGCATTGAGCTTATAATAGTGAGGAGATAATAAAAGGAGACTTTAATATGCAAAGTTTGTGACCTAGATGCTTAATACGTGAAAGTTCCCCAAAGTTCATGTACAGTTTGAGTAGGTGAACATATTTCTTTTCCTATAACCATCATAGTATATGCAGTGTGCTATTAAGTATCAAGTCCTATTTTGTGTGTCAATAGCATTATGTGATATATAATGTAATCTCTTTGTTAGAGAAAAAAGAATCAAGGAAAGTGGTGCGGTGGTTAAGAGCATAGTTTCAAATTCCCGCTCAGTCACCTATTAGTTATCTGATCATGGGGCAAATTTCCTAACCTCTTTGAACTTCAGCTTTCTTCTCTGTAATACCGGGAATGCTAATAGTAACAATAATCAATAGTCAGTCACATGTATATATGGGTTATTGTGTGTCATGCATTATTTTCAGCACTGTGAACTTATTAACTTTGTTAATTTTCACATCAGCATATGAGATACACAATATAATTATCACATTGAGAGATGAAGAAATTTAGGCACCGAGATGTTACACAACCTGCCCAAAGTTACACAGCTAGCAAGTGGTAGAACTAAGTTACCCAGTTATTTTCTCTCCAGAGAACGGACATGCTCCTAAGCAGATCACAGCCATCTTGTAAGAATTGTTTAATTCATGCATATAAAACACTTAATATGCTTGGCATACTAAAAGTCATCTGTAAAGTTTAGCTATTATTATAGTACATTAAAAATGGCACAAATCTTCAACTAGTGACTATTGTTGTCCATATTGTGAAATACCAAAGTGTTAAAAAGTAATTAAGGTTTTTTTCACCAGCAATTCTTTTAAAATTAATAATATACGACAACAAAGCAATAACAAATTTTGATTTTATGGTAATACTTCTGTAAGAATAGTGTGAGTGTAAATTTAAGTAATTGAGGAATAAAAGTTCTGGTGATTATAAAATAATAATTAGAAGTCTAGTAAAGTTTAAATTCTCTATTGTACTTATTTGCAAGGCTGATTCTAATACTAAAATTGTAACCATGTAGATATTAAGTAAGTGCAAAAATGTACAAACACACTGGGGTAAAACATTTAACACCAAGTAGAACCTGTGTTCAGCCAGCCCTGGTGGTCTAGTGATTCAGATTGTGTGCTCTCACTGCAGTGGCCCGGGTTCATTTCCCCGTCAGGTCAGGTAATCACACCACCTATCTGTCAGTTGTCATACTGTGGTGGCTGTGTGTTGCTGTGATGCTGAAAGCTATGCCACTGGTATTTCAAATACCAGCAGGGTCACCCTTGGTGGACAGGTTTTGGCAGAGCTTCCAGACTACGGCACAGTAGGAAGAAGGACCTGGCCACCCACTTCTGAAAAAATTGGCCGTGAAAACCCTATGAATAGCAGTGGAGTGTTGTCTGATGTAGCTGCTGGAAGGTGAGAGGATGGCGCAAAAACACTGGGCAGAGTTCTGCTCTCCTGTACACAGGGGCACTAGAAGTCGGCATCAACTCGATGGCACTAACAATGCAGAACTGGTATTATTATTATTAATATTATTTTTCTTGTAGAAAATACTGGAGTTTTTTTATGGAGCATGTTAATACTCTTTGTCGTGTATATTTTTTGCTCTACTAGTATTAAATATATTTGCTTTAAAGTGAATAACCACAGCTGACAAGACTCACATTCTACAACTTTATTATTTTTAGGATTTGAAGTCTAAAATAAACATTATAAAAATCTTTTTGAGAATGTTTGAAACAAGACATCCTAGGACTAAGACAACGAAAAATGTTATTAAGTCCCTAAACATATTAATAAACATTTATTGAGCAAGTGTTCTATGCTGGACTCTGTAATTTCTAATATCATTGACCATTATGGAATCTATTAATCACCATGGGCACATCTAGACCAACAGCAAAGTAGAGCAAAAGAAGTTAACACAAATGTATTAGGAAAGACATTTTTAAATAAAGAAATGCAAAGCACAGTACCACATTCAGCCAAAATTTAGAGAGTAAACCATATACCATATTTTGAAACTAGGCTTGCTTACTTTCATCTTGTCATCTGTTAACCAGCCTTCTCAGAATAACATGTAACTTTTTGAGACAAGGTGGAAAACATATCCAAAGTTTAATCCAGTATGAATTGGCATCCTGGATAAATAAGAACTCTAGAAAGTCAAGGCATCAAACTCTTACTCTTCCTGGGAATCAGAAAGATTTGACAGAATGTGAACAGATGAAGCAGCTGATCCATCGCTTTCCAAAATTTTCTGGACTATATTCTTGATTCTGACAGCTCCTGGGTCCAGGCAGATTTCCTTCCCATTCTTTAGTGTGGCTCTGCAAGAGAGAAAAGAATTATCTGTGAGTGTGCAGG